GCTTCTTCAAATGATGTTGCTTGTGCACACTTGAGTAGAATGGTTAGAAGAACATGATGTATAAATGATGGAAAAAATCTTCATGTTAGATGCATTGCTCATATCATTAATTTAATTGTGTGAGATGGTATTAGAGAACATGGTGTGTGCATTGATAGAGTTAGAAATACTGTGAAATATGTTAAGAATTCCCCTGCAAGAATACTTAGATTCAAAGATCTTGTGCAAAAAGCAAACATAGATTCAAAATCTTCTTTATCCTTTGATGTCCCCACTCGTTGGAACTCCACATACATAATGTTGGAAACGGCTTTGAAGTTTCGACGTGTTTTTAGTGGGTTATCTCTTCCTGATGGAGAGGATTTGAATGACAATGAAAGGCCTCCCGAACCCGAAGATTGGGAAAAAGTGGAGAGGTTGGTTTTGTTTCTAGAGGGGTTTTATCTGTTAACTAAACGAATTTCTGGTTCCCATTATGTGACAGCTAATAAAGGTTTAGGAGAAATTGCTTCTATGTATGATATGTTGAATAATTGGGAACAAAGTGAGGACTTGAATTTTCAAGCTATGGCCATTGCAATGAAAAAAAAGTTTGATAAGTATTGGGGGGATGTGGATAAGATGAATAAGTTCATTTATGTTGCTCTTCTTCTCGACCCTCACTCTAAGATGGTCATTGTTGAATTGACACTAACGGATATGCATGGACCGGAAAAGGGTACAAAACTTGCTAATGATGTGAAGGAGTTCGCTTACTCTTTATTTGAGGAATATAGAAAAATGTATGCTACTTCTAATATTCCAGATTGTGGAGATAATATGTCAATGGATATTGATAATAGTAAAGGAGTGGGTTCCGATTATGTGAGGAAACTAAAAGAAAGACCAAAACGATTGAAGGGGACAAGTGGGTATGCGATAAGTGAGTTGGATAGGTACTTAAATGCTCAATTAGGGCCGGAGGAGGAAGAACAAGATGCATTGACATGGTGGGGTAAGAATGGTCAGCGTTATGTGATTCTTAATCGCATGGCACGTGACATACTAGCCATCCCATTGTCGACCGTTGCATCGGAATCTGCTTTTAGTACGGGAGGTCGTACTCTAGATCCATTTCGGAGTTCTTTAACTCCTAAGGTAATGCATCGTTATCTTTTTATTTTATAAAATCAAGTTTGTTTATATCTTAATATGACTTTGTTTATACATATTTGTGTAATATTTTTGTATTGAAGATGGTTCAAGCGTTACTTTGCACACAAGATTGGCTTAGAGCTAAGGAAGTGCAAATTGTTGATGTGGAAGAAAATTTGAAAGAGTTAGAGGAAATAGAGAAAGGTAGTAATAATTTTATGTATTTGAAATTTTGTTACACCAAATTTATTATTTCATTGTTATCAATCATTAATATATTCTATATTGTATTTTATTTAGAGGTGCAACGTGGTGAATCTAACGATGTAGACGATGAAGTTGTTTTCGTGGACTCATTAGTGTGAATCACGCGATCAAAGGGAAAACAACTCGTTGGAGAATTTATGTATTTCTAGTACTTGAGAGTTGAGACTTAAGAGAATTTATGTAATTTTATGAGTTTTCGTGGACTTATTTGTATTTTCGGTGGACTCATTTGTATTTTTGGTGTTTGAGAATCGGGACTTTATAGACTTTATGTAGTTTTGTAATTGATAATTTTGGTTTGTATGTAATTATTAAATTATGCAACAGGTCTAAAAATCACAAAACAGGTCCATATGCAGGTCCAACAGGTTTTGTATTAAAAAAAAAACGAAAAAGACACAAAACAGGTCCATTCAGGTCCAAACCCGGACCGGACCTGATTTTTCAGGTCTGGCCCGGAACCGGACGTGTTAATTCAGGTCCGGTCCCCGGTCCTCATAATTACCCAATTCAGGTCCCCGGTCCAAACAGGTCCGGTCCAAGTCCGGTCCGATTTTGGACCGGTGTACACCCCTAAGAGTGGATAGAGGTGTCAAAAACTATTCCGATTACGGAGGAATAATTTAGTATGACTAAAATTTAAAATAAATCAGATCCGACCCTACTTAACTAAACCCGGCACAATGACTTGAATTGACTCCGGTAGATGTGGGCCTAATTGTACAAAAATCACTAAGCTTAATCGCCCAACCATCCCACAGGTCCTTTGTACGAGCACACTTTTTTCCTTCACTTTGCGTCTTTTCAATTCGTACTCTAGGAGGCTAGGAGTACTCACGAGTCGCGAAGCATGCGTGTAAATTAGATTAAAAAGTACTACGCGTGTAATTTAGTTTGCACAACTACATTTTTCATAGGCTGTTTTTTTGGTGTGCAGCATTATTTTCCTTGTAAAAATTATAGGATGCTTGATGTAATTAACAATAAGGCATTAGCCATTTAATATGAGTCTTTTATTTTGTGTTAAAAAAAACTACATTTTTTTTAATTACAATTGTCTTACTTCATATTACGAGATGTATTATATATTTATATAAGAGTATCAAATATTAGTTGATTTAATTTTTTATACTAGTGTGTGTTTTGAATGATGTAACGGATTTTACTTTGAATATCAATAAATATTATTTAAGTTATAAAATATAAAATATGTAATTTTTAATAGTGAACAAATAACAATGAAATTAAATAGGTGCTTTAAAATTGATGTTTTTTACAAAATATTTATCATATTATAATTGAATATTAAACATAATTAAAAAGTAACAAAAATACTAATAATATTAATTCATTTCTTATTAGTCTTGTGTTCAAACATAGTTAAATATACAATTTTTTTTTTTAAAAAAAAAAATAAATAAAAAAATTGGTTCCACACAGAAATTGTATCCTTGTTGCTTTATTTAGTTATTGGCTTATCAGTGCAAGTTCACAACGTACCAATGAATTAATGACACAATAGTCTAATTCAAAATTAAAGAAGAAAGTTAGTTGACTACAAGTCTACAACTGTCAATAAAAAAATTAAAAAAAAATGATTAACTGACTACAGTTCAACATATACGTAGTAATATACAACGGAGTACGTATTGATGTTTTTTTTTTTTTTTTTTTTTTTAAATCACAATGTGAGGAATGGATGATTTTTAAGAGGTGAAAGATTCAAGAAATAGTTAAAAAATAAAATGGACTTAATAAAAAGGGAAATTGTTCCATGTACCTTTAAGGTTTTAAAAAATGCACCGTATATTTTTAAAAACTTTTAAATGCACCATGTATTCTCGAGGTTTGTAAAAACTCACACCAATTCCCCTTAGACTCACAATATATGTTGATTTTTGTAAAATTGAGACCCTCTAAGCATCAAATTAAATTCTATTAAACTATTATAGTTTAATGCTACTATAATGCTAAACCATTAATTATAAAGTGAACTTAATTAATAAAGCAAATTCTAACACCCAGATGTTTAGGATTTAGAATGATCGTCGGAGTTCAAATTTTGATATAATTTATGCTTTTAGGTGGTTTTACTGCATAAATATAAAGTACTAAAAGTGAGTCAGTGTGTGGGCATGATATTAATTTGATAAGTCAATGATATGTGCATTTGTTAGAGGATTAGGGTATTTGGTGCATTTATTTACAAATCTCAGGGGTACATGATGCAGTTGAAAGTTTTTAAGGATACACAATGCATTTTTTAAATCTAGATTGGGGGTACACTAAACAACTTTCCTAAAATAAAAGGTGAGAAATTAGAGGAAATCATTGGTTAAAATAATTTTGAAATTATTGTACAACATTCTAATTAAAAGAAATGAAAAATTGGACAAAAATATTATTTAAGTGGTCGACTTTGTGAGAAAATATTTTTTAAATCAAAATTTGTGAAAAATGATATTCTGTAAGCAGTTTTGTGTTGTGAGTCGGAATTTTTTGCCAAAATCCCGAAGAGTGGATGCCATAGTCCTTTAAAAAAACAACCCGTTTTTCAAATTTCTTGATTCTTGATTTACAAATTGAAATAATTGCTTTGTTAAAGTTTTAGGGGTCATTTATTTTGATTTTCAAGAATCAAATTTGAGTCAAAATAAATGTAAAATTAATAGAAATGTTTCGTTTTTCCATGCCGAGAATTGTCTCGATTCATGTGCTCTTAATTTATGTCGTGAAAAATTATTTGATTAAGGTTTTGGGGGTAATTTTGGTCCTTAAGAATTCAATTTAAGATCAAAATTAACAATTTTTTGAGAAATGACTTGGTTTGTGTGCCATGAATGACTCAGTACAAGACTAAGATGTTCGTGATATTTTTTTTTTTTTTTTACCAATTGTAACCTTAAATTTGACTTTTTTGTGTCATAATGAGTAAATAATGACCCATAAAACCTTAATTGATTAATTTTGTCGGCTAAAAATATCAACATGTAAACTGATGAGACAACGTTTAGCACACAAAACGAGAAATTTAAGTAATTTTCTTTGCTAATTTTGACCTCAAATTGGAGCCTTAAGAGCTAATATGAGCCCGGCCAAAACCCTAACTAATGAAGAAATTTTCTCAACATAAATATAAAGCATGCAAACCGATATATTTCTTCTTAAGAAAAATGAGATACTTTTAGTAATTTTTTTACAATTTTGACCTTAAATTGGATCCTTTAAAGCTAAAATAACCCTTAAACTTTATCCGAATAATTTTCTCAGCTTTAAAATAAAGGCATGGAAAAGGAGACAATTTTTTGTGCAAATGGGACTGGTTTCTAAGGTCACATTATGGTCAATGCAGACTCTAGCGTTGACTCCCTAGAGTTTTGAAAAGGTCCTAATTTACAAGTCAAAACCACTTAAAGGTCATTTTTCACAAAATTTGACTTATAAAGTCCTTTATTACAAAGTCGACCACTTAAAACCCTTTTTTAACAAATTTTCAAAAAGAATTACGAAAGTACATTGCAAGTGGAACATGAAGCAATGACATATTATATATATGTTTTAGATGACCAATAGATGTTGGGTATACCACATAAGCAACTATGGATAATCCAAAACAAGTTGCAAATTCTTGCTACCAGAGTAAACACACAAAACATCCATTGAAGGAAGTCTTCAAAAACTCAAAATTTGAGTGCGAATGCTGCAAAATTGAGGGTCAAGGCATGAGATATCGATGCCATGAATGTAATGTCGATATCCATTTGTCGTGTGAGACTTGCCCGAGTTCGCTCCCTTCGTTTACACACCCAAATCACACACTACAATTTATGGACAAACCAAAGTTACCTATCCATAAATGTAACCTTTGTCTACAACGTATCAAAGGTAAGGTTTATAGGTGTAAGGAATGCAGGTTTTTTGTGCATCCTATGTGTAGTCAATTTCCTGAATATTTGGTTGAGCATGACATACACCCTCCTCATACTTTGAAGCTTCAACTAATGGCTTCTAGTAAGTGTGATGTTTGTGACAAATCATGTAAACATTGGAGGTATTTTTGTGAAATTTGTGATGTTCATATTCATGTTGGGTGCTTGCCTGGCAAAGGTACTAGTGATGATGATGATGATGATGAAGGTGGATTTGGAGGAATCATTTTTGACATTTTAAGTACTCTTATTATTAATGCTCCTTCAGGTTAATCTTCATGAGTTATATAGCTACTCACTTCTTGTGATCTATCCCGGTAGTCCTTTTTTCATTCCCGTGTTTGCTGCTACCTTTAGAAGTTTGCTTAAGTCGTCTATTAACCATGAGGTTGGGTGGCGTCAATCCAAAAGTTAAGCATGGTTAATAGAATTAGTGTTTGCGGTCTATAATCCTATTTGGAATTGGATGTATGCTTAATAAATATGTTTATTTTTCATTATTAAAATTCTGAGTTTTTATTGCTTAGAAATTTACAAAAGTAATTAAGTTTGTGTTTGTGTATTCTTGATCTTATTTAGGTTTTAAGCCCGTATAACTTAGTGTTTTTGACCGAGCCTCAGGATTCCAAACCTTGTTTTCAACCGAGATTAAAGATTATATTTCATTAAAATTCACATCAGTTTCAACATATATATCAAAAACACACTTGTAGAACCCCAAAGAACAAAAATGACCCCCCAAAATATCTAAAGAGCATGTTTTTGGCTTGTAACATTTTCAGATCGATAGGTTCCATTCTAATGATCGGGAATGCCACTTGATATCTATACTCTCTCTATTTCATATTAGTTATAAGTCTGAACAATTTGTTGATGTGTCAATGTATAACTTTGATCATTAATATTTGCAATATATTAGCAACAAGTATAAAATTTGTGCAATGAAAAGCATATGTAAAGACTAATTATTTTTGTAAAACCATTGACATTTTAAAAATGTTGTCAAAGTAAATTTATAAATAAATAGAACAAAAGTTCTAATGCTGTAATAAATATGAAACAGTGATAATACGTACTTGTATAATTTCATAGTGACGGTAAACAAAAGACAAGGATTAGGCGCTTCCATTTTTATTTTTTTTTACCTTTTGTTTCTTTACGGTATAAATAGTGTTCCATTTATATTTTGAACTACTATTATTGCTTCAATAAAATGATTGCGGAATCCAACTATATTAAAAGTGAATTTAGGTTTTGCAGAGCAAGTGGTGCTAAAAGTTAGAGAAAATCGGGCCCATTAACTGGCTATTTTTGTTTTAACTTTGTAACTTAGAAATTCAAATAGATTTAATATTTTAATTTTTAACACACTATTTAACCATTAATTATTGCCTACATTAATTAATAATAAAAAAATTATATATTTTGAATTGAGAAATTTTTGTTGACAGGACCTAAGGATGGATTGAATTAAAATAAATAAATATATATATATATATATATATATAAAATACATAAAAACTCAAATTTAAAAGTTTTTACATATCACATTATATTGAGAAATTTACAAGTTTATCTCCTTGATGAACAAATGGAAAAAATGTTAATAAATCAATAACTTTTCGTTAAATATGGGATCCACGGTTGTTGATTTACTAACAAAAAATGTCATGTTGATTGAATATAGTTATTGATTTTTTTACTATTTTGTCATTTGATGAGTTAATTTTGTTTATCAGGAGATAAAGTGGGGCTTTCATTATATTTATACTAGTCCTATATGCAAGCGATCTGCTAAAAAAAATGTTAAAGATAAAATGTTATATGATTTTAATACGAACATCTTAGTCTTGTACTGAGTCATTCATGGCACACAAACCAAGTCATTTCTCAAAAAAATGTTAATTTTGATCTTAAATTGAATTCTTAAGGACCACAATTACCCCCAAAACCTTAATCAAACAATTTTTCACGACATAAATTAAGAGCACATGAATCGAGACAATTCTCGGCATGGAAAAACGAAACATTTCTATTAATTTTACATTTATTTTGACTCAAATTTGATTCTTGAAAATCAAAATAAATGACCCCCAAAACTTTAACAAAGCAATTATTTCAATTTGTAAATCAAGAATCAAGAAATTTTAAAAATGGGTTGTTTTTTTAAAGGACTATGGCATCCACTCTTCGGGATTTTGGCAAAAAATTCCGACTCATAACACAAAACTGCTTACAGAAAATCATTTTTCACAAATTTTGATTTAAAAAATATTTTCTCACAAAGTCGACCACTTAAATAATATTTTTGTCCAATTTTTCATTTCTTTTAATTAGAATGTTGTACAATAATTTCAAAATTATTTTAACCAATGATTTCCTCTACTTTCTCACCTTTTATTTTAGGAAAGTTGTTTAGTGTACCCCCAATCTAGATTTAAAAAATGCATTGTGTATCCTTACAAACTTTCAAATGCACCATGTACCCCTGAGATTTGTAAATAAATGCACCAAATACCCTAATCCTCTAACAAATGCACATATCATTGACTTATCAAATTAATATCATGCCCACACACTGACTCACTTTTAGTACTTTATATTTATGCAGTAAAACCACCTAAAAGCATAAATTATATCAAAATTTGAACTCCGACGATCATTCTAAATCCTAAACATCTGGGTGTTAGAATTTGCTTTATTAATTAAGTTCACTTTATAATTAATGGTTTAGCATTATAGTAGCATTAAACTATAATAGTTTAATAGAATTTAATTTGATGCTTAAAGGGTCTCAATTTTACAAAAATCAACATTTATTGTGAGTCTAAGGGGATTTGGTGTGAGTTTTTACAAACCTCGAGAGTACATGGTGCATTCAAAAGTTTTTTAAGATACACGGTGCATTTTTTAAAACCTTGAAGGTACATGGAACAATTTCCCTTTTTATTAAGTCCATTTTATTTTTTAACTATTTCTTGAATCTTTCACCTCTTAAAAATCATCCATTCCTCACATTGCGATTTAAAAAAAAAAATAAAACATCAATACGTACTCCGTTGTATATTACTACGTATATGTTGAACTGTAGTCAGCTAATCATTCTTTTTTAATTTTTTTTTGACAGTTGTAGACTTGTAGTCAACTAACTTTCTTCTTTAATTTTGAATTAGACTATTGTGTCATTAATTCATTGGTACGTTGTCAACTTGCACTGATAAGCCAATAACTGAATAAAGCAACAAGGAAACAATTTCTGTGTGGAACCAAAAAAAAAAAAAATTGTATCTTTAACTATGTTTGAACACAAGACTAATAAGAAATGAATTAATATTATTAGTATTTTTGTTACTTTTTAATTATGTTTAATATTCAATTATAATATGATAAATATTTTGTAAAAAACATCAATTTTAAAGCACCTATTTAATTTCATTGTTATTTTTTCACTTTTAAAAATTACATATTTATATTTTATAGCTTAAATAATATTTATTGATATTCAAAGTAAAATCCGTTACATCATTCGAAACACACACTAGTATAAAAAATTAAATCAACTAATATTTGATACTCGTATATAAATATATAGTACATCACGTAATATGAAGTAAGACAATTGTAATAAAGAAAAATGTAGTTTTTTTTAACACAAAATAAAAGACTCGTATTAAATGGCTAATGCCTTATTGTTAATTACATCAACCATCCTATAACTTTTACAAGGAAAATAATAATGCACACCAAAAAAACAGCCTATGAAAAATGCAGTTGTGCAAACTAAATTACACGCATAGTACTTTTTAATCTACTTTACACGCTTGCTTCGCGACTCGTGAGTACTCCTAGCCTCCTAGAGTACGAATTGAAAAGACGCAAAGTGAAGGAAAAAACTGTACTCGTACAAAGGACCTGTGGGATGGTTGGGCGATTAAGCTTAGTGATTTTTGTACAATTAGGCCCACATCTACCGGGGTCAATTCAAGTCATTGTGCTGGGTTTAGTTAAGTAGGGTCGGATCCAATTTATTTTAAATTTTAGTTATACTAAATTATTATTCCGTAATCGAATAGTTTTTGACACCTCTATCCACTCTCGATGGTGGATAGTGATAAGGTTTTCGGGTATCGGGATTCAATTCCACTTTAGATCGGTGAAGCGAGTAGGATTGAATCATTAACATCGGATCGTAGGATCGTAAAATCCTGTAAAATTGATAAATTGAGTTAGACAAGATAGACTTTACTACTTCAGAGAAGTTGAGCCGGTGCAACATGTTTTAGTGAATGGAGCGATTTCATCTTTGGAGTTATGGCACAAAAGGATGCGGCACCCTTCAGAGAATGTAGTAAAGTTACTTCCTCCTGTAGTTGATTTTAAGGGTAGTCTTAATAAAAATTGTGAAGTTTGTTTCCGAACTAAACATCCTAGGGACAAATTTTTCGTCTAGTGATAGTAGAGCGAGTCGTATTTTTGAAAAAGTACATTGTGATTTGTGGGATTCCTATAGGCATGCTTCGTCTTGTGGAGCTCGTTCTTTTTAACTAATGTTGATGATTTTTCCCGTGCGGTGTGGGTGCATTTGTTGGATAATAAAACGGAAATTTTTCGTACTTTTATGAGTTTTATTGCTATGATTAATCGTCAATTCCCACAATCGATAAAAATTGTTCAAAGTGATAATGGTACAAAGTCTAATTGTTTGCGTTATTATTTTTCTACTACCGGCATATTATTTTACACGTCATGTGTTGGGAAATCACAAAAAAATGGTAGAGTTGAACGAAAACACAAACACGATTTAAATGTAACCCGTGCCTTAAGATTTCAAGCTCACTTACCAATTTATTTTTGGGGAGAGTGCGTCCTTACAGTCGCCCATTTAATATTATTTGGCTTCCCTCCATCTTAAAATGTCATCCGAACCTTTGGTTGCTTATGCTTTGCTCACAATCAAAAGATAAAGGGAGATAAATTTGAAAGTCGAAGTAGAAAGTGTGTTTTGTTGGGGTATCCGTTTGGTAAAAAAGGGTGAAACTTGTATGATCTTGACAAGCGAGAATTTTTTCTTGTCGAGGGATGTGAAATTCTTTGAGGACGTATTCCCTTTTATTGATACGAACATGGTAAACATTATTGAGCCGGAAAGGGTGGTTCCTATGTATGATGATGTTGTGATCGATGATGATTTCTATGATGATGGCAGTCCAGGGAGTGCATTCGAGGAAATGGACGCTCGAGGGAATCCATCGGGCGATGGGTTCCTGGCCGATCAGCAGCGCAACGCCACTGATCAGCCCACTGGCCGACCAGCGTACGTTGGATCGCACCGGTAGTAGCATGCCTCGTTGCAACAACAGGAGAAACACTAGCGGCTCGAGCATGCTCCGCAACATATGTCGCACAACAGTGAGTCGTTTAACACCGAACCACACAGCAGTTTGCAGTGTCAACTTGTGCCATAGCAAACCGCGTCTTCTAGCTCGTCTAATCAGCATAATTTGGGTGGGGGTTTTCAAGAAAAAACTCCTTTGTTCTTTTACGAGATTATGTGAATCATACAGTTATTGCAAAAAGTCCATCTTTGCCTACACCGCTTCCACATCAAAAATCAGGTACCCCGTATTTTATAGCACATTACATTAATTGTGATAATTTTTTTGTCAATTATCGTAAATTCTTGGCAGCTATAATTTTGGTTCATGATTCGAAATCTTTTAAAGAGGCTATGAGACATGAAAGGTGATTATAATCAATGCAAGAAGAAATTCGTGCCTTTGAAGATAATGGGACTTGGACATTAGAGGAGTTGCCTCCTAGAAAACGTGCTCTTGGAAGTCAATGGGTCTATAAGACCAAATATTTGTCTAATAGAGATGTAGAACGATTGAAGTCAAGATTGGTGATATTTGGAAACCATCAATCGGAGGGCATTAACTACAATGAGACATTTGCTCCGGTAGCAAAGATGACAAATATCCGAGCTTTCTTAGCAATAACCGACTCGAAGAACTGGGAACTCCATCAGATGGATGTGCATAATGCTTTTTTACATGGTGATCTTAAAGAAGAGATGTACATGAAATTTTCCCTGGGATTCAAAAGCTCGACTCCAAAATTGGTGTGCCAGTTGTGGAAGTCATTATATGGTTTGAAGCAAGCTTCGCGTTGTTGGATTGCTAAGCTTGTTACTGCTCTAAAAGGGTATGGGTTTCTATAATCCTACTCTGATTATTCTTTGTTTACATTCACTAAGGGGCATATTCAGATTAATGTGTTAGTCTATATTGACGATTTAATTATTTCTGGCAATGATTCCGCTGCGTTATTAGCTTTTAAAGCTTATTTGGGTGACTGTTTTAAAATCAAAGATTTAGGGCCCATGAAATATTTTCATGGCATTAAGGTTCCATGAAGTATGACGGGATTATTTTTGTGTGAGTGCAAATATACGCTAGACATTATTTCTAAGGTTGGCTTGACAGGTGCTAAGCATTATCCACCAGCGAGAGTGGATAGAGGTGTCAAAAACTATTCCGATTACGGAGGAATAATTTAGTATGACTAAAATTTAAAATAAATCAGATCCGACCCTACTTAACTAAACCCGGCACAATGACTTGAATTGACTCCGGTAGATGTGGGCCTAATTGTACAAAAATCACTAAGCTTAATCGCCCAACCATCCCACAGGTCCTTTGTACGAGCACACTTTTTTCCTTCACTTTGCGTCTTTTCAATTCGTACTCTAGGAGGCTAGGAGTACTCACGAGTCGCGAAGCATGCGTGTAAATTAGATTAAAAAGTACTACGCGTGTAATTTAGTTTGCACAACTACATTTTTCATAGGCTGTTTTTTTGGTGTGCAGCATTATTTTCCTTGTAAAAATTATAGGATGCTTGATGTAATTAACAATAAGGCATTAGCCATTTAATATGAGTCTTTTATTTTGTGTTAAAAAAAACTACATTTTTTTTAATTACAATTGTCTTACTTCATATTACGAGATGTATTATATATTTATATAAGAGTATCAAATATTAGTTGATTTAATTTTTTATACTAGTGTGTGTTTTGAATGATGTAACGGATTTTACTTTGAATATCAATAAATATTATTTAAGTTATAAAATATAAAATATGTAATTTTTAATAGTGAACAAATAACAATGAAATTAAATAGGTGCTTTAAAATTGATGTTTTTTACAAAATATTTATCATATTATAATTGAATATTAAACATAATTAAAAAGTAACAAAAATACTAATAATATTAATTCATTTCTTATTAGTCTTGTGTTCAAACATAGTTAAATATACAATTTTTTTTTTTAAAAAAAAAAATAAATAAAAAAATTGGTTCCACACAGAAATTGTATCCTTGTTGCTTTATTTAGTTATTGGCTTATCAGTGCAAGTTCACAACGTACCAATGAATTAATGACACAATAGTCTAATTCAAAATTAAAGAAGAAAGTTAGTTGACTACAAGTCTACAACTGTCAATAAAAAAATTAAAAAAAAATGATTAACTGACTACAGTTCAACATATACGTAGTAATATACAACGGAGTACGTATTGATGTTTTTTTTTTTTTTTTTTTTTTTAAATCACAATGTGAGGAATGGATGATTTTTAAGAGGTGAAAGATTCAAGAAATAGTTAAAAAATAAAATGGACTTAATAAAAAGGGAAATTGTTCCATGTACCTTTAAGGTTTTAAAAAATGCACCGTATATTTTTAAAAACTTTTAAATGCACCATGTATTCTCGAGGTTTGTAAAAACTCACACCAATTCCCCTTAGACTCACAATATATGTTGATTTTTGTAAAATTGAGACCCTCTAAGCATCAAATTAAATTCTATTAAACTATTATAGTTTAATGCTACTATAATGCTAAACCATTAATTATAAAGTGAACTTAATTAATAAAGCAAATTCTAACACCCAGATGTTTAGGATTTAGAATGATCGTCGGAGTTCAAATTTTGATATAATTTATGCTTTTAGGTGGTTTTACTGCATAAATATAAAGTACTAAAAGTGAGTCAGTGTGTGGGCATGATATTAATTTGATAAGTCAATGATATGTGCATTTGTTAGAGGATTAGGGTATTTGGTGCATTTATTTACAAATCTCAGGGGTACATGATGCAGTTGAAAGTTTTTAAGGATACACAATGCATTTTTTAAATCTAGATTGGGGGTACACTAAACAACTTTCCTAAAATAAAAGGTGAGAAATTAGAGGAAATCATTGGTTAAAATAATTTTGAAATTATTGTACAACATTCTAATTAAAAGAAATGAAAAATTGGACAAAAATATTATTTAAGTGGTCGACTTTGTGAGAAAATATTTTTTAAATCAAAATTTGTGAAAAATGATATTCTGTAAGCAGTTTTGTGTTGTGAGTCGGAATTTTTTGCCAAAATCCCGAAGAGTGGATGCCATAGTCCTTTAAAAAAACAACCCGTTTTTCAAATTTCTTGATTCTTGATTTACAAATTGAAATAATTGCTTTGTTAAAGTTTTAGGGGTCATTTATTTTGATTTTCAAGAATCAAATTTGAGTCAAAATAAATGTAAAATTAATAGAAATGTTTCGTTTTTCCATGCCGAGAATTGTCTCGATTCATGTGCTCTTAATTTATGTCGTGAAAAATTGTTTGATTAAGGTTTTGGGGGTAATTTTGGTCCTTAAGAATTCAATTTAAGATCAAAATTAACAATTTTTTGAGAAATGACTTGGTTTGTGTGCCATGAATGACTCAGTACAAGACTAAGATGTTCGTGATATTTTTTTTTTTTTTTACCAATTGTAACCTTAAATTTGACTTTTTTGTGTCATAATGAGTAAATAATGACCCATAAAACCTTAATTGATTAATTTTGTCGGCTAAAAATATCAACATGTAAACTGATGAGACAACGTTTAGCACACAAAACGAGAAATTTAAGTAATTTTCTTTGCTAATTTTGACCTCAAATTGGAGCCTTAAGAGCTAATATGAGCCCGGCCAAAACCCTAACTAATGAAGAAATTTTCTCAACATAAATATAAAGCATGCAAACCGATATATTTCTTCTTAAGAAAAATGAGATACTTTTAGTAATTTTTTTACAATTTTGACCTTAAATTGGATCCTTTAAAGCTAAAATAACCCTTAAACTTTATCCGAATAATTTTCTCAGCTTTAAAATAAAGGCATGGAAAAGGAGACAATTTTTTGTGCAAATGGGACTGGTTTCTAAGGTCACATTATGGTCAATGCAGACTCTAGCGTTGACTCCCTAGAGTTTTGAAAAGGTCCTAATTTACAAGTCAAAACCACTTAAAGGTCATTTTTCACAAAATTTGACTTATAAAGTCCTTTATTACAAAGTCGACCACTTAAAACCCTTTTTTAACAAATTTTCAAAAAGAATTACGAAAGTACATTGCAAGTGGAACATGAAGCAATGACATATTATATATATGTTTTAGATGACCAATAGATGTTGGGTATACCACATAAGCAACTATGGATAATCCAAAACAAGTTGCAAATTCTTGCTACCAGAGTAAACACACAAAACATCCATTGAAGGAAGTCTTCAAAAACTCAAAATTTGAGTGCGAATGCTGCAAAATTGAGGGTCAAGGCATGAGATATCGATGCCATGAATGTAATGTCGATATCCATTTGTCGTGTGAGACTTGCCCGAGTTCGCTCCCTTCGTTTACACACCCAAATCACACACTACAATTTATGGACAAACCAAAGTTACCTATCCATAAATGTAACCTTTGTCTACAACGTATCAAAGGTAAGGTTTATAGGTGTAAGGAATGCAGGTTTTTTGTGCATCCTATGTGTAGTCAATTTCCTGAATATTTGGTTGAGCATGACATACACCCTCCTCATACTTTGAAGCTTCAACTAATGGCTTCTAGTAAGTGTGATGTTTGTGACAAATCATGTAAACATTGGAGGTATTTTTGTGAAATTTGTGATGTTCATATTCATGTTGGGTGCTTGCCTGGCAAAGGTACTAGTGATGATGATGATGATGATGAAGGTGGATTTGGAGGAATCATTTTTGACATTTTAAGTACTCTTATTATTAATGCTCCTTCAGGTTAATCTTCATGAGTTATATAGCTACTCACTTCTTGTGATCTATCCCGGTAGTCCTTTTTTCATTCCCGTGTTTGCTGCTACTTTTAGAAGTTTGCTTAAGTCGTCTATTAACCATGAGGTTGAGTGGCGTCAATCCAAAAGTTAAGCATGGTTAATAGAATTAGTGTTTGCTGTCTATAATCCTATTTGGAATTGGATGTATGCTTAATAAATATGTTTATTTTTCATTATTAAAATTCTGAGTTTTTATTGCTTAGAAATTTACAAAAGTAATTAAGTTTGTGTTTGTGTATTCTTGATCTTATTTAGGTTTTAAGCCCGTATAACTTAGTGTTTTTGACCGAGCCTCAGGATTCCAAACCTTGTTTTCAACCGAGATTAAAGATTATATTTCATTAAAATTCACATCAGTTTCAACATATATATCAAAAACACACTTGTAGAACCCCAAAGAACAAAAATGACCCCCCTAAATATCTAAAGAGCATGTTTTTGGCTTGTAACATTTTCAGATCGATAGGTTCCATTCTAATGATCGGGAATGCCACTTGATATCTATACTCTCTCTATTTCATATTAGTTATAAGTCTGAACAATTTGTTGATGTGTCAATGTATAACTTTGATCATTAATATTTGCAATATATTAGCAACAAGTATAAAATTTGTGCAATGAAAAGCATATGTAAAGACTAATTATTTTTGTAAAACCATTGACATTTTAAAAATGTTGTCAAAGTAAATTTATAAATAAATAGAACAAAAGTTCTAATGCTGTAATAAATATGAAACAGTGATAATACGTACTTGTATAATTTCATAGTGACGGTAAACAAAAGACAAGGATTAGGCGCTTCCATTTTTATTTTTTTTTACCTTTTGTTTCTTTACGGTATAAATAGTGTTCCATTTATATTTTGAACTACTATTATTGCTTCAATAAAATGATTGCGGAATCCAACTATATTAAAAGTGAATTTAGGTTTTGCAGAGCAAGTGGTGCTAAAAGTTAGAGAAAATCGGGCCCATTAACTGGCTATTTTTGTTTTAACTTTGTAACTTAGAAATTCAAATAGATTTAATATTTTAATTTTTAACACACTATTTAACCATTAATTATTGCCTACATTAATTAATAATAAAAAAATTATATATTTTGAATTGAGAAATTTTTGTTGACAGGACCTAAGGATGGATTGAATTAAAATAAATAAATATATATATATATATATATATATATATAAAATACATAAAAACTCAAATTTAAAAGTTTTTACATATCACATTATATTGAGAAATTTACAAGTTTATCTCCTTGATGAACAAATGGAAAAAATGTTAATAAATCAATAACTTTTCGTTAAATATGGGATCCACGGTTGTTGATTTACTAACAAAAAATGTCATGTTGATTGAATATAGTTATTGATTTTTTTACTATTTTGTCATTTGATGAGTTAATTTTGTTTATCAGGAGATAAAGTGGGGCTTTCATTATATTTATACTAGTCCTATATGCAAGCGATCTGCTAAAAAAAATGTTAAAGATAAAATGTTATATGATTTTAATACGAACATCTTAGTCTTGTACTGAGTCATTCATGGCACACAAACCAAGTCATTTCTCAAAAAAATGTTAATTTTGATCTTAAATTGAATTCTTAAGGACCACAATTACCCCCAAAACCTTAATCAAACAATTTTTCACGACATAAATTAAGAGCACATGAATCGAGACAATTCTCGGCATGGAAAAACGAAACATTTCTATTAATTTTACATTTATTTTGACTCAAATTTGATTCTTGAAAATCAAAATAAATGACCCCCAAAACTTTAACAAAGCAATTATTTCAATTTGTAAATCAAGAATCAAGAAATTTTAAAAATGGGTTGTTTTTTTTAAAGGACTATGGCATCCACTCTTCGGGATTTTGGCAAAAAATTCCGACTCATAACACAAAACTGCTTACAGAAAATCATTTTTCACAAATTTTGATTTAAAAAATATTTTCTCACAAAGTCGACCACTTAAATAATATTTTTGTCCAATTTTTCATTTCTTTTAATTAGAATGTTGTACAATAATTTCAAAATTATTTTAACCAATGATTTCCTCTACTTTCTCACCTTTTATTTTAGGAAAGTTGTTTAGTGTACCCCCAATCTAGATTTAAAAAATGCATTGTGTATCCTTACAAACTTTCAAATGCACCATGTACCCCTGAGATTTGTAAATAAATGCACCAAATACCCTAATCCTCTAACAAATGCACATATCATTGACTTATCAAATTAATATCATGCCCACACACTGACTCACTTTTAGTACTTTATATTTATGCAGTAAAACCACCTAAAAGCATAAATTATATCAAAATTTGAACTCCGACGATCATTCTAAATCCTAAACATCTGGGTGTTAGAATTTGCTTTATTAATTAAGTTCACTTTATAATTAATGGTTTAGCATTATAGTAGCATTAAACTATAATAGTTTAATAGAATTTAATTTGATGCTTAAAGGGTCTCAATTTTACAAAAATCAACATTTATTGTGAGTCTAAGGGGATTTGGTGTGAGTTTTTACAAACCTCGAGAGTACATGGTGCATTCAAAAGTTTTTTAAGATACACGGTGCATTTTTTAAAACCTTGAAGGTACATGGAACAATTTCCCTTTTTATTAAGTCCATTTTATTTTTTAACTATTTCTTGAATCTTTCACCTCTTAAAAATCATCCATTCCTCACATTGCGATTTAAAAAAAAAAAATAAAACATCAATACGTACTCCGTTGTATATTACTACGTATATGTTGAACTGTAGTCAGCTAATCATTCTTTTTTAATTTTTTTTTGACAGTTGTAGACTTGTAGTCAACTAACTTTCTTCTTTAATTTTGAATTAGACTATTGTGTCATTAATTCATTGGTACGTTGTCAACTTGCACTGATAAGCCAATAACTGAATAAAGCAACAAGGAAACAATTTCTGTGTGGAACCAAAAAAAAAAAAAATTGTATCTTTAACTATGTTTGAACACAAGACTAATAAGAAATGAATTAATATTATTAGTATTTTTGTTACTTTTTAATTATGTTTAATATTCAATTATAATATGATAAATATTTTGTAAAAAACATCAATTTTAAAGCACCTATTTAATTTCATTGTTATTTTTTCACTTTTAAAAATTACATATTTATATTTTATAGCTTAAATAATATTTATTGATATTCAAAGTAAAATCCGTTACATCATTCGAAACACACACTAGTATAAAAAATTAAATCAACTAATATTTGATACTCGTATATAAATATATAGTACATCACGTAATATGAAGTAAGACAATTGTAATAAAGAAAAATGTAGTTTTTTTTAACACAAAATAAAAGACTCGTATTAAATGGCTAATGCCTTATTGTTAATTACATCAACCATCCTATAACTTTTACAAGGAAAATAATAATGCACACCAAAAAAACAGCCTATGAAAAATGCAGTTGTGCAAACTAAATTACACGCATAGTACTTTTTAATCTACTTTACACGCTTGCTTCGCGACTCGTGAGTACTCCTAGCCTCCTAGAGTACGAATTGAAAAGACGCAAAGTGAAGGAAAAAACTGTACTCGTACAAAGGACCTGTGGGATGGTTGGGCGATTAAGCTTAGTGATTTTTGTACAATTAGGCCCACATCTACCGGGGTCAATTCAAGTCATTGTGCTGGGTTTAGTTAAGTAGGGTCGGATCCAATTTATTTTAAATTTTAGTTATACTAAATTATTATTCCGTAATCGAATAGTTTTTGACACCTCTATCCACTCTCGATGGTGGATAGTGATAAGGTTTTCGGGTATCGGGATTCAATTCCACTTTAGATCGGTGAAGCGAGTAGGATTGAATCATTAACATCGGATCGTAGGATCGTAAAATCCTGTAAAATTGATAAATTGAGTTAGACAAGATAGACTTTACTACTTCAGAGAAGTTGAGCCGGTGCAACATGTTTTAGTGAATGGAGCGATTTCATCTTTGGAGTTATGGCACAAAAGGATGCGGCACCCTTCAGAGAATGTAGTAAAGTTACTTCCTCCTGTAGTTGATTTTAAGGGTAGTCTTAATAAAAATTGTGAAGTTTGTTTCCGAACTAAACATCCTAGGGACAAATTTTTCGTCTAGTGATAGTAGAGCGAGTCGTATTTTTGAAAAAGTACATTGTGATTTGTGGGATTCCTATAGGCATGCTTCGTCTTGTGGAGCTCGTTCTTTTTAACTAATGTTGATGATTTTTCCCGTGCGGTGTGGGTGCATTTGTTGGATAATAAAACGGAAATTTTTCGTACTTTTATGAGTTTTATTGCTATGATTAATCGTCAATTCCCACAATCGATAAAAATTGTTCAAAGTGATAATGGTACAAAGTCTAATTGTTTGCGTTATTATTTTTCTACTACCGGCATATTATTTTACACGTCATGTGTTGGGAAATCACAAAAAAATGGTAGAGTTGAACGAAAACACAAACACGATTTAAATGTAACCCGTGCCTTAAGATTTCAAGCTCACTTACCAATTTATTTTTGGGGAGAGTGCGTCCTTACAGTCGCCCATTTAATATTATTTGGCTTCCCTCCATCTTAAAATGTCATCCAAACCTTTGGTTGCTTATGCTTTGCTCACAATCAAAAGATAAAGGGAGATAAATTTGAAAGTCGAAGTAGAAAGTGTGTTTTGTTGGGGTATCCGTTTGGTAAAAAAGGGTGAAACTTGTATGATCTTGACAAGCGAGAATTTTTTCTTGTCGAGGGATGTGAAATTCTTTGAGGACGTATTCCCTTTTATTGATACGAACATGGTAAACATTATTGAGCCGGAAAGGGTGGTTCCTATGTATGATGATGTTGTGATCGATGATGATTTCTATGATGATGGCAGTCCAGGGAGTGCATTCGAGGAAATGGACGCTCGAGGGAATCCATCGGGCGATGGGTTCCTGGCCGATCAGCAGCGCAACGCCACTGATCAGCCCACTGGCCGACCAGCGTACGTTGGATCGCACCGGTAGTAGCATGCCTCGTTGCAACAACAGGAGAAACACTAGCGGCTCGAGCATGCTCCGCAACATATGTCGCACAACAGTGAGTCGTTTAACACCGAACCACACAGCAGTTTGCAGTGTCAACTTGTGCCATAGCAAACCGCGTCTTCTAGCTCGTCTAATCAGCATAATTTGGGTGGGGGTTTTCAAGAAAAAACTCCTTTGTTCTTTTACGAGATTATGTGAA